GGAAGCCTAATGTTATCCTTAACTTACTCAAGGAGCATTAGTATAATCCAAAGCATCGCGCTAACGTAGCCACCACTTTATCCGTATCGGTTTACGCTGTACAACCTCCATGGTTTATTGCTACTTACCTAATAAGGTGCCCCAGATCCGGGTGTAGGATCTTTACAAGAATACCCCAACAAACCCTCAAAGATAAAGCAGTCAAAGTAAACAGAGAAAGCAATTTAAAATGATCTAGACCCTAAGGTAAACCCCATTTTATAATTTTCCCCAGCAGAGTCGCCAGTTTTGTGATACGGTGGCAGAACCGACGGTTTAATACTGGTTTGTGTTTTTTGTTCACAAATGCCGTGGTAAGCAAGAGTCGCCACCGACTTTTCTTTTATCCGACAGAGAAAAGGGTGAAAAGAATAGAAAAATACCTTTTTTTCGAGATTTCTGAGTACGGGGGGTAGATTATGGAAAGGGAAGGTGTTAGCACCCTTTCCATCCATGGTTTTCCATGGGATCTTAGGTACTTTCTCATTTTCTAAAATTGCCTGTGTTTGTGCGTTTGAAAAGCTTTGAAAATTGCCTTAGTGCGGAGTTTCACTTTATGGTAACTCTTGTATCAATCCTCAAGAGTGTGATAAAATGTTTTGAAAACTTTTGTTTGAAAAGTATTTGAAAGTGTAGTGTGTAAAAAGAGTTGTTTGATCAAGTACCTAACAGTCATCTACCTACTCGAAAAAAATGTGTTCTTTTCCTCTTATCCTTCAGACAGTGCTATCCTACTATTAGTGAGTAGGTAACCCTAGTCGTTGGATGTTTGAGGGACTATCGAAAGGGATGTACAGTCACCAAGGCAACAGGGCAAGATCTCTTAGTAATTTTCCTAAAGCCCTAAGATCACTTTTATACTGAGGCAACAGTCGAGAGGGTCATCGAGGGACTAGTGATCTCTAGACTTAAGGACAGCCACTAAGAATTCTCACGTTTCAAGAATTGTGATCGTAATTTGAAGGCAACCAAGTGAGGTATACCCTAAGGGTGCAAGTGTGCAGTAGTGTGATTTTTCCAGATATTTTATCTTGCACAATTAGGATTATCTATGTTCAATTAATCATTATCTTTCATGCAACCCAATTAACCATTCATCTAAGCAGTTTATCGAGCAGGAAAATAAATGGCAGAAAGATGAAGTTTCTACAGTTATTACAAGGCTTTGGTGCAATTACATAATTAATGACTGAAAAGTAAAAATGCGGAATTAAAAAACCCTAGTTAAGATATTACAAACCGGGAGCAATTACATCAATAAAAAAAATAATCGTACGGAAAAAATAATTAAGCGCGAGAATTAAAATTGAAAAAAGGTGCAAAACCCTAAAAAACTAATTTGCTCATTGAAAATATTTTTTTGAATTTTTTATATAAAAAAATGATTTGAAATTGACCTAACCTTCTAATTAATTTTAATTAATGAAAATAAGTTAAAATTGATTAAAATAATTAATTTGAAAAAATTAATTTAATAAAAACTTAAGTCTTATTTTTGTGATGATTTTTTGATTTTATAAAAAAATTGATTTAAAAAGAAATTAAATTAATTAAACAAAATAAAATAATGAAATAAAAAGAGTGAAGGAATGGGCCTGAGGGGTGTAAACCCAAATTTGGAGGGTGTTGTTGCTGAATTCTGCCAAGCCCAAGTCTGTTGGCCCATAGCAAGCGCTGGATTCAGTGGGAGGCTTGTTGGGATGTCCATCATGAGGATGCAGCCTGGAAGCATGAGATCTGGCCAGGGGACGATCCAAGGGTGGTGATCTGAAGGCGTATGATGAGCGCACTTGTGATGAAAGTATGGGATCTGCAAGGAAATATTGAGAAAAATATTATGTAGGAGGCAGGGATCGAACCCCTGACCTCCTACACGCACGCCTTGAAAACCTTTCGCTTGTACCACTGAGCCAACGCTTCATTCGTTAAATAATAGAAACATAATATATTATATTTATAATGGTCAGTAATGATAAATGAAAAGCACGCACCATTCAAACTGTCCACTCCTGTTTTGACACACCTTCATCTTCTCCAAGGGACTATCGTTTTAGGCAATGGGTTTTTACCTACGGACATGTGTTGTAGCTATAAACCTGTAAGTCTCAAAAATCAGCACCAGGCGAGATAAATCAAATCTAATTACATAGATCAACTGGGTTTGATCTCTTGAGTGCAATGGTGTTCATCTTTGGCCCTGATTTTTCCTGAAACAAAAAGCCTTAAAACACACCTCTAAACCCTAACAATGGCAGGTTATCAAATATGCCTCAAAACTCATAATTAATTATACAAACATATTCTAAATGATGATACAAACATGAATGTATGTTTAGAAATCATTTATAATGCGTAAATTTTCAAAACCAAATTCAAGAATGAAGAACAAACCGTGGGGTCGTGGAGGATGATTCTGGACGTCTTGATGCGTGCAAGTGATCCATCTAGCTTCCAAATATGCCCAGGAACGGATTGCCAACCTTCAAAGTTTTTGAATCTGTCTATAAATCAAAATTTGATCACTACTTTTTTGTCCAAAATGTTGAGTTTCTTCTCTCAATTCTACACGGCCAATCCTTGTCCTTTTGATCTGGGAATGTTATGAATATATAGTAGAGTGAATTAGGTGAACAAAACTGAACACAATCTTTGAAAATTTGTGAGAAAATATTTGATTTGCATCTTGTATTTTTTATTTCTAAATTTGGCCAAATTATGCTACATTCATCCCAATCATCCCTTACACGATTTCCTTGATTTGCTAGCTGATTATAGACTCATCATATGGTCATAAAATCAAATCTTGGATTTTATTTTATTATTCCACTATTTTATTTGATTTATTTTGATTTTAATGAATAAAAAATCAAAACAAATAATAAAAATAATGAAATACTATGTGAGTAGGCTCAGGGATCATGGTTCATCTTAGGAACAAGTTTCAAACAAGAAAACATGGGCCCATTTGGGAAAAAATCAATTTTGATCAATGTTGACTTCATGCCCGTTTCTAAAAATTGGTCAACTTTAGCAATGCACATCTCTCTCGTTTTTGACCCTAAGAGGGTGTTCTTGGACTTTTTAAAAAGATTAGGATGTCCTCTAAACAACCCTTTTGGTTTCATCTCAATTGGACCTTCCATGTTCATGTAAGGAGCTTTGACCCAAAAGGTGTTTTTGTTGACTTTTTGAAAGGACCTATAATGTATGAACTTGCATCTTTTGATTGGGGCATTTCTTGAACTTTAGGGCTGAAGATAAATTGTAGGGAATTGGATTCTCTTCAAAATGAGCCTTTGTGGAAAAAAAATTGATAAAGTATGAGACAGTTATGCCCGGTCAAACTTTGGTTGACTTTTCCTATAGAAACCCTAATTTGCCATTTTTGACTTTTGATGAGTTGGGAGCATTTCTTGAGGAATCATGATCAAACCTTGATCAAATGATGGATATTACTTCAAAATGTTTATTTTTGACCAAAATCTTGAAGTTTGACTGTATATAAACCACATTTGACTTTTGACCTAGGAGTCATGTTTAACCTTAAATGCTATTAATAAATTCTACAGCAATAGTCCCTCGGACTCGGAAAGTTATAACGAAAATGGCTAACCCAATAGCTGATTCAGCAGCTGCCACCATTGAAACCAATGAAGCAAATGATTGACCCATCATATCACCCAAAGAAACGGAAAATACCAAAAAGTTCGAATTAATAGCTAATAACATTGATTTAATTGGCATTGACATAATAGGAATATTTCGTCTATTAAGGAGGATTCCCCGAATACCTAAAATAGAGATGATCATAGAAAATGTAAAATATTTGATAGGATCCATTTCGAAAACGTGGAATGTAAGAGAAATTCAAATGTTATATATAGTTTGCCATCGAGACTTCACTGCGAGAGAAAGAGGAGAATTTGTTGAAACTCTTGACTTTGTAGACCTAATTCAGTAAGATTCTTCAAAATGGTCAAGAGTTGCTCCAAAGACTCGGAATCGTGATGAAGGTGGGTTGCAATGTCTTGAATTATATTCCCAGGGGGGAGAACAAGAGCATTATGAAAATATATTTGGAGTAACCCCTCTATTTGTTTTTTAATCTCCTCTCAGAGGGTGTCAAAACATAGGTCTCCCAACCCTACCTTGAGTTAATAAACCAGTTACGAATAGAATAGACAGCATGAGCCAGCCACACAGTCTCAGAAACAGTCGGGACAATGGGCCGCCCGCTGGATCAACCCCTCGCTACAGGCTTGGGCGCACCCGGCGGCCGCCTCACTTGTCGCCACTTTTGAGGCCCCTTCCACAAGGGAGGGGGAGGTTTGTTGGGGCGACACCTGGGGGTGGCCCCCCTTGTGAACGGACCCCCGTCCCGGGGTGTTTCCAGCACTGTCGGCTGTAGAACTGTGATTTCTTTTGGAGTAGGGATGGGAAATTCCCCGAATTCGCGCAAATGTGTCCACACCCCCCAAACTTCATCTTGTTTCACTTTGCCATGTAGACCTTGATCAATAGGGGGTACAACGAGATTACCCGGGTTAGAGCTTGATGCACCCGAAGACGGCCCGACTTCTTCCATACAAGAGAAAAAAATTTTGAAGAGGGTTCCATTCACCGCTTTCACAGCAAAAAACAGAACAAGATCCAGCCTTCCGGAGCAACCTGTCAATTTGAGAAATGGTGTAAATATGGCTCGCGTCGTACCGTAGTATCCCACCTTTGAGAGCAAGGCCCAAAAAACTTCACTCTCACCCAAGATGAAACAAAGTAAATAGGAGACACCGACTAAGAGAAGGAATGAGTATAGAAAGTTTTTATTTCTCATGACACTAGGAATAGAAAAATTAGGAGTAATTCAAAGGATAACGAAGCTGGGAAAGCTGCAGTAACTCTTTGGAAAAGCCCGGTTCTCTTTGTATTCGAGCTTTCATCCCTAAATCCATTGTTTCGTTCCTTCATATACCTCCCCACCAATAGATAGAGACAAATGGGAATAACCGAACCACGTCTACAAAATGCCAGTACCATGCAGCTGCTTCAAAGCCAACGTGATGCTCCTTGGTCAGATGACCAAGATATTGGCGAATACCACATACGATCAAGAAAAGAGTACCTATAATCACATGAAAACCATGAAAGCCAGTTGCTAAGAAAAAGGTAGAACCATAAATACTATCCGAAATAGTGAATGGTGCTTGATAATATTCCATTCCTTGAAAGCCAGTGAATACTAGAGCCAGTGAAACGGTTGCTACTAAAGCGTAAACTGCTCGTTTTTCCTTCCCCGTGAGTATAGCATGATGAGCCCAAGTTACAGTTGCTCCGGATGAAAGGAGAATAGGGGTATTAAGAAATGGGATTTCTCGAGGATCTAAAACCCCAATCCCTTTTGGGGGCCAAATACCCCCGATCTCTACCGTAGGTGCCAAAGAAGAATGAGAAGAAGCCCGAAAAAAAGCAAAAAGGAACATAACCTCCGATACGATGAACGAAATAGAACCATATCGAGGTCCTAATTATACGACTTTGGTATGATGTCCTTCCAACATGGATTCACGTAGAACATCGCACTACCATACAAACATGGTATATAGGATAAATATTAGGCCCAAACTGAGAAGTGTTGCACCCCCTTGAAATGAGTGCATGTACATCACACCTCCTACGGTGGTTGCCAAAGCTCCGAGTGAACCCGAAATAGGCTATGGACTTGGATCTACCAAATGATAAGAATGCCTCTGAGATTCAATCATAAACCACTTTGCCTCGGTTGTATGTAAGCCTGTAGCGAGGGGTTGATCCAGCGGGCGACCCATTATCCCGACTGTTTCTGGGAGTGTGTGGCAGGCTCATGCTGTCTATTCTGTTCGTAACTGGTTTATTAACTCAAGGTAGGGCTGGGAGACCTATGTTTTGACACCCTCCGAGAGGAGATTAAAAAACAATAGAGGGGTTGCTCCAAATATATTTTCATAATGCTCTTTTTCTTCGCCCCTGGGAAGATAATTCAAGACATTGCAACCCACCTTCATCACGATTCCGAGTCTTTGGAGCAACTCTTGACCATTTTGAAGAATCTTACTGAATTAGGTCTACAAAGTCAAGAGTTTCAACAAATTCTCCTCTTTCTCTCGCAGTAAAGTCCCGATGGGAAACTATATATAACATTTGAATTTCTCTTACATTCCACGTTTCCGAAACAGATCCTATCAAATATTTTACATTTTCTATGATCATCTCTATTTTAGGTATTCGGGGAATCCTCCTTAATAGACGAAATATTCCTATTATGTCAATGCCAATTGAATCAATGTTATTAACTGTTAATTCGAACTTTTTGGTATTTTCCGTTTCTTCGGATGATATGATGGGTCAATCATTTGCTTCATTGGTTTCAACGGTGGCAGCTGCAGAATCAGCTATTGGGTTAGCCATTTTCGTTATAACTTTCCGAGTCTAAGGGACTATTGCTGTAGAATTTATTAATAGAATTCAAGGTTAAACATGACTCCTAGGTCAAAAGTCAAATGTGGCCTATATACAGTCAAACTTCAAGATATTAGTAGTTGATTTCCAGGCACTTGAGCAGTTGCCTGAGCAAACTTGTTGTGCAGGGCATGAAACTTGACATGGATGATCTTGAGGACATATTAGGACAATGGAGACCATTTGGGACCCTTGGAACTCAACCATCTTGATGAGGAGTGAAACCCTAGTTTGAGGCTTATTGTCTTAGGAGGAGGATTTGTCTGGTCAATTCTTGGTCAACTTGAGCAATTGAGGACCTCTAGGAGTATGTCTTGTGTGAAAATGGGAGGGAAAATTTTGGGGTACAACACCAACTACAATTTGCTCCTAGGAAGGGAGTGGATCCATGGCATATGAGCAGTGTCATCATCGATGCATCAGCGTGTTACAATTTGGCGCCCAGATGCCATAGTAGAAAACATAGAAGCTGACCAAAGTTACTATATGGTCAAAGTCAACAATGTCAACAGAAAAATCTTTGATAGAAATTTGGACCACATAGGGCCATGTAATCCTCCAGACTTCGACTTGGCGCCAGCACCCAACGCTTTATGCTCCATATACCTACAATCAAATCATGGATTCCAATGGGATAGGGATGATTTGTCAAACATTGATTTCGGAGGGATTAATGATATACGGCCAATAGGCTGGGGAGTGATTTATGTGACCATGACTTAGTCATAAGCATTAAAGAGGATTTCGGCATATGTGGCTGAAAACAGAATGATAGTGGCCTTAGAGGCTAGAGTGAAGTATATGACTGTCAAAGCCAATGAGCAAGTGCCACTTACAGAAGGCCCTTGGAAAGATTTTGACCCATAACCGCCTGACTCAAGAGAGGAGGAAGTGCAAGGCCAGAGGCTAGATTCCATCTACGATGATGAACCTTTGGGTTTCGAGAAGGATCCGTTGGCAAGCAATATTAAAATGCTAGCGCAAGATCCTTTTGAAGAGATAGACTTGGGCGAAGGAATGGTGATGAGATCAACATATATCAGTGCAAAGATAGATTCAGAGCTTAGAGTCAAAGTAATCCAATTGCTGAAGGAGTTTAAAGACTGCTTTGCATGGGATTATAACAATATGTCTGGTCTCAACAGAGGATTGGTGGAGCTTTAACTACCAATAAAGCCTGGGAAAAAGTCTGTCAAGCAAACTCCAAGGCGTTTTACACCAAAGATCTTGTTGAAGATCAAGACGGAAGTCGAAAGACTTCTAAAATTCAAGTTTATCCGAACAACCAAGTATGTCGAATGGATTGCAAATATAGTACCTGTTATAAAGAAAAACGGTACATTAAGGGTGTGCATTGATTTTAGAGATCTAAATGTTGCAACACCCAAGGATGAATATCCAATTCCTGTGGCGGAATGCTTGTTGATTCTGCCGCTGGCTTCGAGTATGTGAGTATGCTTGATGGATACTCTGGGTATAATCATATTTTCATTGCTGAAGAAGATGTGTCGAAAACAGCATTTTGATGCCCTGGGGCTTTAGGCACTTACGAATGGGTAGTAATGCCTTTTGGCCTAAAAAATGCAGGGGAAATATATCAAAGAACAATGAATTCTATCTTCCATGATTTTATTGAATTTTTCATGCAGATTTATATTAACGATATTGTTGTCAAATCTGTTTCAGGGAAGAATCACATAGACCATCTTCGACAATCCTTTGAAAGGATGGGAAGTTATGGTCTGAAGATGAATCCTCTAAAGTGCGCTTTCTGTGTAAAGGCAGGGGACTTCTTAGGCTTTGTGGTCCACAAAAAAGGAATTGAAATAAACCAGAACAAGACCAAGGCCATTTTGGAGGCAAAAGAGCCAACAAACAAGAAGGAATTGCAATCTCTACTTGGCAAGATAAATTTCTTGAGGATATTTATATCTAACTTAAGTGGAAAAATGCAAGCCTTCTTACCCTTACTTCGACTCAACAAAGGAAGATTTGACTGGGGGAAAGAAAAACAAGAGGACTTTGACAAAATCAAAGGATACCTCACCAAGCCACCTTTTCTGGTGCCTCCTTGTAGAAATAAGAGTATGAGATTGTACATAGCTGCATCTGATAGAACTTTAGGGAGCATGTTGGCTCAAGAGGATGAGAATGTTGTTGAAAGGCCCATATACTACCTCAGTAGAGTTTTAAATGATGCAGAAACTAGATATAGCAAAGTTGAAAAACTATGTTTATGTCTTTACTTCTCATGTACACAACTCAAGCAAATTTATTAAACCAGTTGATGTTTATGTTTTGTCTCATTTTGATGTTTTCAAATATATGTTGTCAAAACTAATCTTGCACAGTCGAATTGGGAAATAGGCACTTGCATTAACTGAATATTCACTAACCTTTATGCCTCTCAAGGCTGTAAAGGGACAAGTGGTATCAGACTTTATAGTCGACCACTCAATAAATGAAGAATCCTTAAATTACTTGGAGATTGAACCCTGGAAGTTATACTTCAATGGTTCCAGTCATAAAGATGGAACTGGAGTGGGAGTTCTAATTATTTCTCCAAATAAAATTCCAACAAAATTTAAGTACAAGATCAAAGGTTCTTGTTCGAACATTGAGGTTGAGTATGAAGCTTTAATTGTTGGTCTTAAAATCTTGTTGGAATTGGGGGAAACTCGAGTCGAAATAATGGGAGACTCAGGGTTAGTCATAAGGCAAGTTAAAAAAGAATACAAATGTATAAGAGAAAATTTGATCAAGTATTTTGTAATAGTCAATTGCTTGTTGAAAAAATTTGAAGTGATCAATATTCGACATATACCAAGATTAGAAAATCAAGTGACTAATGACTTAGCAGAGATCGCCTTTAGGTATAAAATTTTGAAAGAAAAATTTCAACAAGCGATCGGAGTTAAAGGAAGGGTAGTATCAACCAGGCTGTCTCCAACAGATTTAGAAACAACAAAGATGGGGTATGCTGACCAAGAAAACTTCGAGATTTCGTTCATAGACAATCTAACAGAACAAGATTGGAGAAAGCCTATAGCAGATTATTTGCAAAGTCCAGCAGCTTCGACAGAACGAAAGACAAAGTATAGGGCGTTGAGTTATATTCTAATGGGAACTGAGTTATTCAAGAAGACGCCTAAAGAAGTACTACTAAAATTCCTAACTGAAACAGAGGCATATATAGCCCTTTCGAATACACGTGTTGGGGCATGTGGAGCACGACAAGTAGGCCATAAAATGAAATGGTTGTTGTTTCGACAAGGATTATATTGGCCTACTATGTTGAAAGATTGTGTTCAGTTTGCAAAAGGCCGCCAAGAATGTCAAGTACATACAGGCATCCAGCATGTACCTGCAAGCGAACTTCACTCAATTATGAAACCTTGGCCTTTTAGGGGATGGGCTTTGGATATTATTGGAGAGATTCGACCAACATCATCTAAAAGCCAAAAATATATATTGGTAGGCATTGACTACTTAACTAAATGGATCGAAGCAATTCCTTTAGTCAATGTAGACAAAGAAGATGTCATTGAATTTATTCAAAAGAACATTATATATAGGTTTGAAATCCCTGAGACAATAACAATTGATTAAAGATCAGTATTTACTGGTCGAAAAATGCAAGAATTTTTTACAGAAATAGGATTCAAGCTATTAACATCTACACCTTGTTATGCGCAAGCCAATGGCCAATTCGAAACAGAAAATAAGGTAGTGACTGGCTTAATAAAAATCATGTAGGAAAAAACCAAGGAATTGGCATAAGACGTTGGACCAAATCTTATGGGCAGGTTGAACTTCTCCTAAAGAAGCTGCCAATACGACACCATTTCGATAACCTATGGTCATGACACAGTGTTGCTAGTAGAAATCTGTCTGAAGTCAACAAGAATTCAGAGACATCAAGATATTCCTTCTAAGTCTTATTGGAATATGCTGTTAGATGAACTGGTTGATTTAGACGAAGAGAGACTGAGAGCTTTCAACCTCTTAAGGATACAGAAGAAAAGAGTGGAAAAATCTTATAATAAGAGAGTAAAACCCAAGACATTCTTGCCTGAAGATTTGGTGTGGAAGGTAATTATCCTAATGGATCGAAAGGATAAGAGAATGGGAAAATGGTCTCCTAAATGGGAAGGACCTTTTAATATTATCCAAGTATTTTCTAGTGGTGCCTATGAGATCGAAGAATTAAGTAAAGATAAAAGACTCTTGAGAGTAAATGGTAAATATTTGAAAAAATATAGACCTG